ACTCCTGATCCTGCTCCTCCTGCTTCTTCTGCTTGCCTTTCCCACTCGACTTCTTCTGCTCTTCGCCACCTTCTTCACCACCACCACCACCACCACTGCCACCGCCGTACTTCTTCTCCTGCTCCTTCTTGCACTTCTCCATACACTCTGCACTCGACGGTGCCAACTCCTTCGCTATCTTCAACACATAATCAAACATTTTCTCCTCTTCCTTCTCATTGTCTCCCTTTAGTTTTCCTCCCTGCTGTTGCTGCTGCTGCTTTTTTTACTGACAGTTCCCTTCCTCCTTTATCGTTGTTTTCTTCTCTCACCTCTACTGCAATAACTTCAATGCTCTGTCTTGTTGCTCCGAACCACCAACTTTTCCACTCCTATGCTCCTTCCACCCACTTTGTTTGCATTTACCGTTGTCTCGTGGCACATTTTGCCTTTAACGTAACCCTTAGCATAATTGACAAGCAAATCACCATTCACCACTTCTAAGCCCTGAACGTTTACTTCAGAATTGCATGAAAATCGCCAAGACTGCATTGCCCGTGTTGAGGTGAATCTGTGGAGCTGTAGACTTCACCCAACAATGTTGTCACCATTACGAATCACTGGGAGTGACCTTCGCCCGCCGTCCTGCATGTCTGCTAATGCAAGTCTGAAGCTATACGATGGATCATCCAAGGCTTATCAACGAATTGCGGAAAAGGAAACCACATAAGATGTGCAACGATAAAGGATGCAACAAAAGATTGGCCTTCCTCATTTCCAAACATGCAAAAGTGAATGAATGACGGGAGGAGAAGAGAGTAGATGGGAGATGGAAGTGAGAGGAGGAGAGTAAAGGCTTCTGACGCAGTTGGAGATAAGAGCAGTTGCAAGGTCTCTTTGCACTTGGATGACAGGGCGGAGAGCGCAGACATTGTCACGTGTGCACGTGAGAAGAGGACGCTGCGCACATGAAGAGAGGACAATGTGACAGCACAACAGCTACAACAACAGGTGAAGCTGATGGTGGAGTGGTATCACGAGGTCTACAAGGCTGTTGGAAGGAGTATAAAAGTGGTGGAGTTGGTGGTTTGGAGCAACTGTCGAGAGGACTACACGCATCGCGGCAATGGAGGAAGGAAAGAGTCAGCAAAAGAAGCAGCAGCAGCAGCAGAAGCAGGGAGGCAAAGGAAAGGGAGACAAGGAGAAGGAGAAGAAGATGTTTGATTATCTGTTG